AACATGAGATAAAGCTCTCCTTTTTTAATTTAATTGACATATTTTTAATTGAATTTATTTATTGGTCCATTTATATATTTCTGCTTTATTTTTTCTAGTTATGTCAGTGTCGGTCCTCCATACTGCAGAACTTTGACGAGGTAATTCACTGCCTGAATCAGGTGTGTTGGAGCAGGAAAAACACAAAACCTGTAGGGCTGCGGCCCTCGTGGACCAGGATTGCCCACCCCTGCTTTAGATTACAAAACACTGTGTCAAATGTCAATGGCACAAAAAGAAACCTATAATAAAGATGAAAACATTACAATTGTAATAAAAATGGAGGGTCCAGTATTCCTTACTGGGTGTGTAAAGCCTGAAAAAGAATAAATTGGCTTAAACACTTCCTGCATGACTTCAGAGAACATGAAATACACCAAACAGTCTTAAAAAGTTTTACAAAGACACAAAGCTTGTAAGATGGAGATAAGCAACCATAGATGTGCCTCTAGAGCAGGGGTGCCCAAACATTTTCCCCGAGGGGGCCAAAATGAAAATCTATCCACGGCTGCGGGCCAAATACAGTAATATAATACATGAAATACAAATATTTTTTCAAGTAAAGTCCTTTATTTTTAACGATTAAGCTGTGCAATGGCCCTCTTTTCTTTTAGTCTGTGCACTTGGAGAAAGTCTGCCATACACTCAAGCAGCAAAGGCTCATGGGACATTTCATAAATTGATAAAATATGAGTTTTTGTGGCCTTACAAAGTGTGCAAATCTACATGCGGGTTTGAATCTGATCTAAATATTTCTTGTTGTCGTTTCATGTTTCATGTTTAATCCTAATAAATCAAAGATAAAGTCAGCTCCATGACTGAAAACTACCTTCACTGCAGCCCTTTTATATAGTCATTGGACCAATGGAAATACTGTGTTTCTACCTATAGGATAACAGGTTACAACCTTGTAACTTTGGCAACTGTTGGTGGGCCGAATCAAATGGCTTGGTGGGCCAAATTTGGCCCGCGGGCCCCACTTTGGGCTCCTCTGCTCCAGAGGGATTTCAGTCCTTAGATGGGCGGCTGTGGTGGAGTGGTTAGGGGAGTCGTCCTGGAACTGGAAGGTCGCTTATTCGATCCCCCGTCCAGCCGTCTCAGTCGTTGTGTCCTTGGGCAAGACCCTTCACCCACCTTGCCTACTGATGGTGGTCAGAGGGTCCGGTGGCGCCGGTGCATGGCAGCCCCACCTCTGTCAGTGTGCCCCAGGGCAGCTGTGGCTACAGTGTAGTTTGCCATCATCAGTGTGTGAATGTGAGTGTGAATGGGTGAATGTCTGTTAGTGTAAAGAGCTTTGGGGTCTGGAGGGACTTGAAAGGCGCTCTATAAGTTCAGTCCATTTACCATTTTACCATTTACCATTTTACCATTTACCATTTACCATTTACCATTTACCATAGATTGTAATATTTTTATAAGGAATGAAAGTGTGTCAGTTTTACCTGTGGCTCTGAACTGCTCTTCCTGACCAGACTGTTGTGTGAAAACTCCACGTGATGTGAGGGACTACCACTGGAGTGGAACCCATTCACTGCAAACAGGCAGAAACAATACAGCAAATGTTATTAAAGGATAATTAAATCATCTGACTGAACTGAACTATCAAAAGTTCATGACGGTGTGTGACCACACGCAGTTTATTTTTAGCTATTATTTGTTTTATTACTCACTAACACTAACAGTGTAGATACATTCTGCTGTTTAAATATGAATATATATGTAAAAATATGGTAACTGTCATCATTTCTCCATATCATCTTCAGAACATTCAGCTATTTTTTTTTTATCTCTGAGCTTAAATGTCCTCAGATTTAGTGTCAGAAATCTGATCACCCTACTTTAAATGCACATGGGCTCAAACTTTTATAATTTGTGACAAAGTTTAAAAAAATTACTTTACTGAGAACTAGTAAAAAAGTATTGTGAGGAATTCCTTCTTTTAAAAATCTTTTCAAAATAAACTTCCTACAACTGTTGCTGACGAGCTGCACGTGTTTTTATTGGTTCTGACTTGACAGATTGAAGGATGTTCCTGTGAGCAGAACCCTTCAGGAAGTCTTCCTGGTTTTCTCTGTCTGCCTTCAGGACCGGAGCCAAACCAAGACAGAGGAGCCTCAGTGCAACACATCCACATGAAGGTAGTGACAGGAAGGCTTTTTGTAGCGAGCAGTGGGAGAATTCCCAGCCCTGGGGTACCGACCCTGCAGGAAGCAGAGAAGAAAAAGACGGAGATGAAGAGATCCAAATAAAGCACCTGCTGGCAGAGAGTTCTTGTGCCTGAAGGAGGTCTTGGGGGTCCCCGGGGTGCTGGATGGTCTCTCCCACGTTGTCTCTGAAGGAGGGAGGGAGTAACAAACAAAAAACAGRAACATTACATGAAACTGTCTGTAAGCAGTAAGAAGAAAACAAAGAGAATTTGTGAAAGACGAGCATTGGAAAACTGAATTTAAAAAACAGATTTTTTTAAAACTATAAATTTATTTTTTGCTTTAAATTTGATTTCTGGAAATTGGCTTGAATTTGTTTTGTTGTGCAAGTTTCTGTCAAAGATGTCAGCATAAAGAAAAGTTATAAAACCATTTTAATGGGATCCAGAGTCAGTGTGCTTATTCTTTACATCAAAACTTCAAAGCTGTCTTCGTCAGTCTGCTGATCAATTCCAGGTACAGAACGATGAGTTCTAGTATTTTTTATTACTCTGTAGCACAAATATACTGTCATGTCTTAGAGTCAAGTRCTCGTTGGTCATTTTGASCCCAGGGCAGCAGGAGGGTTMAGGCAGAAACTCCTCCCTTGCTGCAGGTGACAGTCCAGCTGAATAAACGAGTGTCTCTTTCATTCATGGGTTTGTTTGTTTGCTTCATTAAAATGTTCCACGTGCTGCAAACAGTTCTTTAACACAACGTATTAGGGCCACTTTGCCGATGGAAAAAAAGGAGCAAATCTCTGCGAAAAAACTCTGAATTTCTGAGATTAATTTCAGAAATTTTCGAGAAAAAAACAGGAAATTCTCTTATTTTGAAAAGTCACAAATTTGCAAGAAAAAAACTCAGAAATTTCCATACTTGAAGGCAGAAATTTGTGACTTTTAAACTAGATATTTTCTGACAAGGTAAAGTCAGAAATTTACAAGAAAAAAACTCGTAAATTTATGAGGAAAAAACCTGAAGTTTTCAGGAATAAAGGGTGATTCCACCTGTTTTCACCACCTCGAGCTTCTTTAATCTGCTCTAGTTTAAAAAGTAAAACACACAGAGACTTTAAACCTGGATTAGATTATTCTACACTGATTGCAGAATGTTTAAAACCAAGTGTGTGGTTTGTGAAACGGATATTTGATATGTGAAGCTTAAGGAAATAAGGTGATTTCGGCACTTTTTATGCATTTAATAAACAAGCATGGCCCGATGGAGAGAATTATGCTGCGATCAACTTCACTCCGAACGCACAAAAACACACAAACGCTTCAAGTTGGACTCGTTGTGCACTTTGGTGTCAGACAGACGCTCTTCAAAATTGCTCTTGATGCACGTCCAGAGCCTCCTGTGCAGGTGTGGCAGATGAAATAAAGAAAGTAGCTTTGCTTTATTTACTGAGAGCAAGAGCACATCACGCTCACCAGATAATTAATTCATATTAATTTATCAGATAAGTGAGTTTCACTAGGAGCTGCGCACTGACGAGCTGCTGATCCGCTCGTCCACGGTCCATCGTTTGCATGTAAAGCTGACTCCCCCGATGCTGAAAACACGTTTGGTGGGAGTGACTGAAGCAATAAGTAAGTCAGCAAACTTTATACATTTATAATTATAATTTTTAATATAATGTATAAATTTTAAAATGTTCCACGTGGTGCAAACAGTTCTGTAAGCACTTTCATTGAGTTCATTAATAAACTTTCTTGCATGGATGTTAGTGATAATATGTATTTGATGGGAAATGTGATCTTTTATTTTTTATCCTGCAGGCCCAGTTTGCACAACATAAAACCAAGCAGAGGCTTAGTCAAATTTGCAAATAAGTTGTGGTAATTGGTCAAAATTGTAACATTTAAAGAGATTGGTTGCAATAATACTGGAGCTGCACTAAGAACTTCCTATAGAGAAACTGCATGGGCAATTTAAACGATAAACAGTAGAAACTATATGAATTTATCCAATGATAGAGATCTGTAGTCTACGGCCAACCGTGCAATTGTTTTTGATGATGTAACCAGCTGGAGTCAAAACAGAGGAAGCAGGAAGCAGCATGGCTGAGAGCGTAAAGGAAGAGGGGAAAAAAACTTATCAGGACCTGGTTCAGGTGTGTGAAAATGAACGTTGAACTGTTTACATGTTTACGTGACGGCGTGTGCTCCGGTCGGACCGACACACTGCCTGCTGCAGGAGGAGCGTGTGCAGCAGCACATGAC